CACTACCACTACCACTGCTACTACTGATACTACTACTACTACTACTACTACTACTACTACTACTACTTCTACTAGTACTAGGTACTAGCACTAGTACTGGTACTGGTATCAGTACTAGTATTAGTACTAGTACTAGTACTAGTACTAGTACTACTACTACTACTACTACTACTACTACTACTACTACTACTAGTGCTACTGAAACTGCTACTGGCACTGCCATCGCTACTGCTACTTCTACTGCGGCTGCCGATACTACTACTACTACTACTACTACTACTACTACTGAGTGCTTGGTGAGACCCGCTGGAGAGCCAGACTGACCCAAGGCCTTCATTGGCCCTACATGTTCACAGCTTACCCCAGAGGTCCATATATGAATACGGTCGGTATTCTATTGAAAGTAGTTCTGTAATCCTCCCTATAATTTGATTTCTTTGTCTCTCTCTATGTCATGTGCATGAGCGTGTATTTATATACATATATATGTATATACATATATACCTACATAGCCAGATAGTTCGGCGTTTATGGTCACATCTACTTGAGCGCTACGCTGACTCGGCAGGTTTATTTCGCATTCTGTGAAAGCCTCACACATCAAGGTGCACCATGAGTTGGCTGGCTTGGAGCAATGCTTGGAGCAGTCAGGACAGACCAGCCTCCATGTAAGAATCTCCGGGTTCAATCTTAGGACTTAGGGTTTGGGATTCTGTCAAGGTTTTAGACGAGTTTTTCTGGGGTTTTGCAGGGATTTAAGGTTTGGGGTTGGTGGGGTGTAGTGTGGTCCTTGATGGCGGGTAAACTTCTAAACGCTAAGCCGCGGACAGCCGCCCCTCCTCACGTTGGTGGTCGTATATTGGCTGAAGGGCTGCAAGGGGGGCAGAGACGGCCAGGTGGCCATGTGTGCAGTAGTATACCCATGTACTCCCTCAGTTCTGGACATACTCATGCTCTCAACATCCTGCAGCTCTTTGTGCCCAATAAATTCATAGCCCCGAAGGGTTCATCTGTAGAAACCTTGGCAAATGCGACGCACAGGTGATTATGGGGAGGTCAGCTAGCAGTTAAATAAGTTCTGCAGGGCTTTGGGTTCCTGAATTCGTTAGGACTTTAGGGTCTAGGGCGCGGGCTAATACGATTTAAGGTATAGGGTATACGGCTCTAGATCGAGGTTGCGATGCACCCGAATGTACACCTCTTCTCCAACACGCTGTAGCAGACATCCTTCAAGCGCAAGACGGCAGTTGGTGGCCACACGAGTCCTTCATATATTATCTTGGTGCTTAGGTACTGTTACGGGGAGTACTTTCCCACACAATAATAGTCCGACCAAAGAAACCCTACATTCCATTATGTAGGTACTTAGGACCCTTTGGGACTGAGAACGCCCCAGAGACTGCTGCACAGGTCCTCTGCTGTGCATGCCTCAGAACCACATTCTGGGTGGGGGGGCTTGCGCCTAGAACCCAGCGATGTGTGTAGGGCTCCTATTAAAACTACATTATAGTGTGCCCCAACACTTCAGTGGTTTGGGAGGAGACTTCAAGTTTCCGTTTAAGCGTAGTAAGTTTTGTCGATCGGCCTTCCCCGGGCGCGCCTGTGACTGCGACCCTTGATCCCGAAGAGCACTAGTCTGAGGCAATAATATAGGAATTGGATTAAGAAATCTTGGGTCTTTATGCGGGTTCACTATTGGTTCTGGGGTTATAGGACCAGGATTTCTTAATCAGCGAATCAAGAAAGGGGATGGTGAATTCGACAATTCGGCTGTGCGGTCGGGGCGAGGGGGAATGTATCTCGAAGATGGAGACCCGCGGAAATCTGATCTGGGTTTTTGGAAAATCCTAGACTCTGCACATCCCTAAGCCGTCTGCTTTGCTTCGGAATTGGTGCCGTGAGGTTTGCAATGTCCAGCGGGCAATGGTCTCCGGAAGTTTAGCCGGTGTCCCCAGCAGAGTTCTACACCCGAAAGCCGAAACTTGTGGGAGTTGCAGCAACCCAAGGCCCAATGCAGATCTTAAGTAGCAGGGCTCTTGGCATTCAGACTCCTTTTTCCTTCGAAGCTCTGAATCCGAAAACTGAAACCCATCGCCTCAACTCTAAATCCTAAACCCTAAACCCTAAACCCTAAACCCTAAACCCCTAAACCCTAAGCCCTTCTACCTAAGCCCTGAATCCTGAATCCGAGGCCCTTCTACCTAAAGCCTTCTAGTCAGGTCTGACTCTAGCTCGGCACCCGTCTTCCGGGTCGGGGCCCCATGGGCATGGGGGTCTGCGGGGCTCCTTCATGAGACCCTTCCGGTGACTTATATATAGGGTTTAGGTGATAATTACAGTATTGAGGGTTCTGTGGGTAGTTTAGATTGATGTGCGCCCTCTGGGTTTCTACAAAGCTCGGGCTACGCGAAGTTCATGTTGCGAAGCCATATGGGCCTAGCAGCCCCCAAATCTTCGTCCTAGCATCTGCTGGGTATCGGAAATGTGGAGTGGATGTTGTCGACAGGTCCAGAGAACTGCACGGTTATCGAAAAGGTTCCGCGAAGTTTCCTTGGCGAGCCTGTGATTCAAGATAGCTGTAGATTTAGACAAGCTGTGCTACATACAATTCCTTTGACGGCTTTCTGTCTGCAGGGTGCTTCTGGGGAACCAGGAACCGTTTGACTATTTCGTGCATAATGATATCCCCCCAGCGTCGACATATGATTAGACTTGTACTTACCTCAGAACCCTGTTCCGATCCTTGAAGCCACCGTGCTCTTCCGTAGCCGCTTGTTTGACATGGGGATATAGGGCCCGTTCCATTGCTGCGCGCTGAAACTCAGGACCCCAAATCCGAAGCCCTGAACCCTAAACCCTCAAGCCCTAACCCCCAAGTCCAAAGCCCTAAGCCCTAAACCCTTAAACCCTATAACCCTTAAGCCCTAAACCCCCAAATCCTAAGCCCTGAACCCCTGGAGCCCTACTTCCCAACCCTCCGACTCCATCCTTAGGCCCGAACTCTGCACCGCCAACACTCCAAACCCCACAAACCAGCTAAGGATTTAGGGTTTAGGATAACCATAGTTTAGAAAGTTGGAACATGAATATTCTCATGGCCGTAAGGTAAAGTAAAGGCAATCCTAGCACTTATCATCCTATTTTAAATCCATGTTCCAACTTTCTGGGGTTCGCTATAACATACGAACCTGATTCAGAAATCCTGGGCCTGTATTAGGGTTCTTAATGTGAACCCAAATATGTTGGGGTGTAGGGCCAGGGTTTCTTAATCAGGTTCCTACACTATAGTCTCCATTGTAGCTCCTTGTTTTGGTTTAACCAATTATATTTAGGATCCTAACAGGGTTTCATTCCATTGTAGCTCCTTTCTTTGGGTTCCCAAAAGGAGACCGCAAACATGGACTACAATGGAGACTATAGGCAAGATCCCAGACCCTAAACCCTAAACCCTAAACCTATCCGAGGGCCTCTGGCCTCGATATGACAGCGGTGGCGGGACGCCTGATGCAGAGGCGGGCGAAGCGCAAGACTCCTCCGGGATTGCGCAGGAAAGGTCCTAAACCCTAAACCCATGAATCCAGAACCCTAAACCCTACACCCATAAATCCTACTTAAACCGTAAACCCTAAACCCATAAATCCTAAACCCTATATCAACCCCAAAACCCTTAGACCCACAAGTGTAGTTCCTTTTCTTGTTACCTTTGTATTACTCGTAGGCTAGGTCATCCGAAAATGAGGCTAAAGACATGCCAAGGCGCAAGCCAGGGCATTGGGGTATTAGGGTTACAGGACTTTCGGGTTTTACGGCTTTGAGGTTGGCTGTAGGGTTTAGGGTTTAAGGGGTTTAGGGTTACAGGAGTTTAGGGCTTCAGGGTTAGGGTTGAGAGTTGAGGGTTTAGGAGTTTAGGTTTAGAGGAGTTCTGATTGAGTGCTCTCGGAGTGTGGCCCAGACTTGGAAGTGTCGGTTCGGCCCTTGTCCCCAAGGATCCTGGGTACTGTTACGGGGCAGACTTTCTGACATCACAAATAAAAGAGTTCCCGTTAGATTCTACTATGCAGATACTTTGGACCCTTTTGTATACTTCTACTACCAGAATATTCTCCCAAAGCCACAGTCGTCCCAAAGCGCGAGATCTAACACTTGACGGGCAACAGGCAAGCAAGAGGGCATGTAGGGGGGGATCAAGGGTTCAGGTTTTCAGGGTTGAGGAAGGAATCACCCGAACTTCCCGCCAGCATGTTGACAAAATGCGCTCACGCGCAGGCGGCGGCATTACCTGGGTTCGGCGGGCAACAGGCAGCGTGGAGGCGGGGACCACAGGGCAAAAACCAGATCCAGTTGGAGTTGGCTTTCAGGGCGTGGCTTTATGGGCTGGATTTTGAATTTCAGATTTTGGAGTCGCTTTCCCATGTTGTCAAGTTCGATTTTCAATGTGAACCCGTATCCTCGATGTTTTTTTGGTTTTTGCAGCCGCGGGGTTTGAGGGTGAGGTTCAGGGTTCAGGCAGAAGTCTTTCAAGCCCTGGACTGGAAGCCCACAGCCATAAATCCTAGAGCCCTTTGTCCGAAACCCTAACATCAAAGCCCTAAAACCCTACAGCCCCCAAGGCCCTTACATATCAAATGCTAAGTCCCAAGCCCTAAACCCCCAAACCTCAAGAATACAATCAATAGAAGTTGTATGTTTTTTTTTACGAAAACTTGAACCCCCTTTAAACATTCAACCTTCAAGCCCCGTAAACCCTAAACCCCAAAATCCTGAGCCCATGAAGCTCTTATAAACCGAAACCCTAAAACCCTGGGCCTCTGAAACCCTAAAGTCCTAAACCCCCCAAAACCTAAAGCCTTACTAATGCCATAAGCCGCCTAAGCCCGAAAGCCCCAAGGCCGAAAGCCCGGAAGGCCGAAATCCCTAAAGCCCCAAACCCTAAATAACCTTCAAGCCCTAACCCTTAAACACAGGGTTTAGGGTTTAGGGTTTAGGGTTTAGGGTTTAGGGAGAGCCCTACTAGAGCCTAAAGCCCTACCAAAGCCTTAAAAGCCCTACTACAGCCCTAAAGCCCTAAAGTCCTGAAGCCCAGAGCTCCTGAGCAGAGAGGCCAAAGGGACAACTTCTAGCCACTCTCTACGAGCTGGGGCCAGAGAGTTGGTCTTAGGGCTTATAAGTTTTGCAGGGTTTAGGGCTTCGGGCTTAGAGGGCTTATAGGGCTTATAGGGCTTTGGGTGTTGGTCTTATTGGGCTGTGGGTTTTTAGGGTTTAGGGCTTATAGGGCTCAGGGTTGAGGGCTCATAGGGCTTATAGCGCTTTGTGTTCAGGTAGATTATGTTTGGGTGTTTTGGAGTTGAAGGTTTTACCGGTTGAGGGTGTTTAGGGTTTACGTTTTCGGGTCTTGGGATGTCTAGGCTTTCGTTTCAGGGTGTGGGGCTTTGGGGCTGTGAGGGTTTAGGACGGTCCGGTGCTTAGGAAATGAGCGAATTATTAGGACCACGGGCGTTTAGGGTTTAGAGCTTAGGCCTGCCAGGAGTAATGCAGAGAAGCAGAAACCCCAAAGACTTAAATCCCTGCCACCCAAGAGGCGACAATCACTATGGTTTAGGGTCTAGGGAACTGGGGTTTAGGGGTTTAGGGTTTAGAGTCTACGTTCTATTGCGTGTTGCAGTGTAATGTCGTTTGCACCTACGGCCTACTTGCAACAATATGGGGGCTTGGGGTGTTGGGATTCTCGATGCTTGTACCTGACCTTCAGAGTCGTATGTGCATGCAGGGCTTGCTGGCAGAGGGATTTGGTTTTGGCTTGGTATTCTTCCGCAGGGCTCCTTGCTTCAGTTCAACTACAATGTCTGCCCAGAAAGAGATTATATCTTCGGTGTTTGAGTTCGGGGGTCGAGGGCCGAGGGTTCAGGATTCAGGTGTTTACAGTTTAGTGTTGTCCCTAAACCCTAAACCCTAAACCCTGAACCCTGAACCCTGAACCCTAACCGTTGTGTTCCCCGATTTTCTTGAACATCAAGACCGGCAAGACTCCATCTTGGAATGGTAACAAATGGTCGTGGAGTTTGAGTGTCTGTTACATCTCTAGGATACATGCTAACCTCTCTGGGAAGCCATGATGGAGGATGCAATATATACCAGTCCGAAGTGAATATGCTAAAGTATAATTCATCTTGATAAAGAACTGGACCAATAACCCCATTCTAAGCCTTAAGGCCTTTATACGAAGCCCCATAAACCCTCTGCAAGAAACTGACCTAAATCTAAGCCATAAACCCTGTGGCTCATTCATTCGGCTCGAGGTCCCAGCCACAAGGAGTTGGGCGCACGGATCTGTAGCATCCCACTTTCTCATCTCAGCGCTGGCTTTAAAACCGAGATTCCGCGATGCAGCTCGCGTACGTGCGGACCTTCATTCAGGTCAGGACTTAACTTGGGGCTGAGAGGGTTTACTTAAAAACTGCGAAATTAGGGTGTAGGGTAGTAAGCAACAGTTAGTGGTGCGGTTGATTCAGCGTTCCTCGAAACGAGCAGTGACGCATCCGTTTGCTGAAGGTCGTCATTTCCTAGATAACTAGATATAAGTACCAGTATCGGACGTACCTACGGACATATATAAGCCACAATTATTGGCAACCTCTCAAACAAAGCTCTAAACCCTAAGCCCTCAAAGCGCTTTAAAAAAAAAAAACGCAACCCGAAACGCCTATTTTTCCTATTCACCCCACCTAGGCTTTGGCTCCTGATGATCAGGTCATATGATGGGCTTTAATCAATTGGATAAGGTTTGGTGGGGTACATGATCGTAAAGCTATAGTGGGAAGGAGCCCGAGGCATGAACTAGGTGCTTTTCTTCAGGCCTCCATAGTCGTCGGAACATCCAAGTGCACGCTGCCTGAATTGAACAGACCCCAAACCCTGAACCTTAAACCCTCAACCCTAAACCGTGGTGCCGGATTGAGTTAGTGGGATAGAGATCTTTTAGATATCGGGATTGGGTTTCGGAACTCAGGGTTCATTCGCGACGCTCAAGCAACCTAGTTGGATGCAGAGGACTGGACCGAACTACCAGGTCACTATAACGGTCACGATAGGGATGTCTATAAGGGTTACTATAAAGGACTCTTTGAGCCCCCTGAGCAGCTGCGACTTCATTGTTTGCATGATGATTGTCCTCTTCAAAGCTTTCAGCGGCCAGGCTACAACTCTAAGCGCTTTGCCCATAATCTAGGTGGCACTTTGGGGAACGTTGAATTTTTCTTTATGGCTGCTATAGATATAGAGTCTTTTGAGGCACTTATTCACAAAGACTTTTAAGGGCCCCGAAACGACAACCCAGTAATCTACTGGCCCTGCAACCATGCCACCAACTTGAGGCCGGGAGCTTTCCAGGATGTCATTTTACAAATTTTTACAGGGTTTAGTTTAGTTGGGGCAAGCAAGGGGTTGAATATCTACTCCAGATCCCATACCCAGACCCTAAATCATAAACTACTCCAGAGCCCATACCCACGCAGACCCTAAACCCTAAACCTTCATCCCGAAGCCCTAAGACTTATCAGTAAGCCTCAAGCAGAGATCCGATTCACCCCTAGCGAGCCGAAAAAGACTTCATTCAGTCCTGTCCCCTGGCTCCTCTTAGGATCGGTTTCAGCTCTCGACCGCTAAAGGTGGCTAAAGGTGGTTTGGGACTGAGAGTTTAGGCGTAAACCCTAGACCGCCTAGACCCTAAACCCTTTAACTTCCATGTTCAGGTGAATGAAGCAAAGCCTGTTCTTCGGCGAATCCGATCCGCTTCCCCTTGCCGTCGAGTCGATAGCCGGGAGCCCTGGATAGGGAGGCCAATCGCTCTGATTATGGGATCATAACCTATCGCTTTGTAAGATTTAGGAGGGGTCCGTGGGGCAGAGTGGAGGTCTTGCCCGAAGGTATAAATATCCTCTGAGGCGTGAGAGTCACAGGTACAACATTGCAGTGCTAAGCCCTAAACTCTAAACCACCAGCAGACAGAGCACACTTGTATCCCAAAGAGAGTGGCAGGTTCAAAAGACTGATTTTGTTCTTGGAGGGGGGCGCTTCTGGTCGAGATTGTGCTATAAGTAAGTATAAGTTATAGCAATGACCGCATGCTGGAAACCCAATCCTGCGTCCACCGTCGCAAGAGTCGTAATTCGAGCCTTCAGTGTAACTTCGTAGTGTCGAGCGCTGGGCTCTCGTTGCGGATCTTGCCTACGGAGTTCATTAGTCGGGGTCCTCAGACCCTATCCAGTGATTTGCTGAATTCGTATTAAGTTTTATATACAAACAGAGCTCCCCTGAGCCCTACTTAAACTTCTTGCAGGTCTGCGTCGAATACCTAGGCCGTGCCCAAAACCCTAAACTGCAAGCTCACTTCCACGCTAAACCGTGCAACAAGCCCCAACAGCGGGCGATATTATAAGCCTAAAGCCCCAAACCCAGCCAGACGGAACTGGTGAGGTGTCGACGAAGCGATCCAGTCGCTTCCTCGGCCTTGCTGGTTTGACTTCACTAGTTGATGGTCTAGTGGCGAGATATGTTGGTCAAAGTGGAAGTTCGGGGTTCAGGGCAGAAAGAGGGGCGCTTTCCTGACACAACTATACAATACATACAAACAAATAAACAAATAAATAAATACATAAATAAATAAATTATACACAAGTATCCGTTTGTATGTAGATAGGTATGTATGTGTGTATATATATATATATATATGTACACATGTATGCTATCTGTATATATGGCTGTATCTATAGTTATGCTTGTTTATACTTTTTCAACCCTAAACCAAATGAGATTCAGGGATTCGGGAGTTCTTTCTTTACTTTGCGCATTTCGGCTGCGCGAGGGCCAACAGGGCCTTGGGAGTGTAAGATGGGTTTAGATAAACCTGAAGCCTAAGTCCTAGACCGTGTAAATCCTAAGCCCCTAAATTCTAAACCTTACATCCTACATCCTAAACCCCTAAACCCTATAAGCCCTAAATCCTGATTCCTAAACCCATGAATCCTAGACCCTAAACCCTGTCGGTCCGCTTAGGGCCTACATTAGGGTTATTCGCTCAGAGTTCATTGGACCCCGTGTCTGGCAACACCGGCCCGTCCAAAGCGACGACCGCTATAGGGCTTATAGGGTTTGGGGTTTAGGCTTTGTAGGGTTTGGAGAGTTAGGGGTTTGTCGGGGTTTTGGGGGTTTGTTGGGTTTAGGGTTTATAGGGTTAAAGGGTATAATGGCTTCAACCCTCAAGTCCCTCTACGCCCCTTCAACCTCAGTTCAAGTCCTCAGCCCCCGAGTCCGACGCCCTAAGCCCCCGAAACCCGAATCCCTCGTTGCAGACCTACCAGTAGAGGCTCTAATGCTAAGGCTAAGGGCTGTAGGCCAGGTTCCCAGAGTTCATGGACGACGGTCACGGGCCATTCAGGGGTTCTTTTTGTCGGATTTAGGGTGTAGGGTTTTGGAGTTTGTTTTTCGTTTAGGGCTTGGGAATTATGAGCCCTAGCATTCGCCCCGGTAGATTCTCTCCATCGGCTCGTCCACACTTTCATCTTACATACTCATCTAAGATCTCAGAATTACAATACCAACATTGTAGACCCCTCCCTTTCTTTGGGTCCCCGAAATTTTAGGATTCCGATGATACTCGGGGTTTGTGGGTCAAAGATCTGCATGAACATAAACCATGTCTGGCCATGATGAGCCCCTCATGATCCAGAGCTTAACCCGAAACCCGAAGCCCTACAGTAGCCGAATTTCCCAGCCTCCAGCCCCAAGCGACATTGCATCCAAAAGCCTAATATCCTAAAGACCGCAGCCCAAAACCCTAAACTAAACCTTGTAGACCCCTGTAAATTCCTCTTCGCCCTCATAGAACAGAACCCTGGCTTCATCCCTACAAAGCCCCTTTTTCCCAGGGCAGATCTGCGCGACTTACCACAGCGGGTCGAAGAGATGCTCAAAGTTTTGCATCAGATCCCCGAAGTTGAACAGGCCCGAAAGTTGCCAAAAGGAGGGGATTGCGGTTTAGGGGTTTAGGGCTTGGGGTATTAGGGGTGTAGGGTTTGAATTTAGGGCTTAGGGGCAGTGTTGACTTGAGATGTATGGGCTTGAATTGATTAATGGTT